CCAGTGTGTGAGAGTTCTCCTAATCCCTTGGAGTTAGGAGTTGTTCTATGTCAGCAAAGTACCACAATAATTCAGGACAGAAATGCTAAAACCAAGCAAGCTGTCACCAGTATGCATGTGAGGGTCCAATCTTTATCTATGTGTTGTTAAAACTTAAACCATATTTTGTTGGTGTGAATAACTGAGACTAAACTAATCTCTAGTAAAGAGGGTAATAACTGGGATTCATGGTATTTTGGATGAAGTTGGTAGATACTGTGGGACAAATTGATACTTCACTTTTCCATCACTTTTGATTTTTAATATATTTCTGCCTGGTCAGTGCCTCTGTTAGATTTTCTCCACCATCCCTGCTTTCATTAACAAACGTGAGCCAAAGCAAGGTGCTCCATCACAGAGTGTGGCTGCAGCACACCATCCCTTCTCCAGCTCGGATCCGGGGACCTGCCCTGGGCTGAAACTCCTGAGCAGCAGTAGCCCAGTGGCCATTGGAAAGACATGCAAGCCCAGCACATCAGTGTCTGATCCATTCTCCCCAAACTGTCCTTTTCCAGATATCCTTCAAGTGCCAGGCTAAAAATCTCAAGTTTGTGAAGCAAATCAGTTGTGCCAGAAAATTTTTGCTGAGTGCAGTTGAACATTCCAGGGGAGATCATTTCTAGTGTAGCCATCAGAGGTTGGCACCACAGCAATGAGAGGCAGATCAAGCAGAGACCCTCGCCCCTTCGCACGTCACATCTAACCACAGTGACACATATTTCTTTCCATTTAAAACTCTGGAGAAGTAGGTATGTGCTGTAACTCAGCTGCATACAATTGAGACATGGGGCCTCCCTGCCCATTGCAGGAAATGAGTTTGCTGTGTCTGTGACAGCACCGTGTTCTCTCTCACAGCCGTGGGAGCGGCGCAGCTCGGCGTGGCGTTCTTCCACCACGGGTGTGAGCCCGGCAAGCCACGGGCCTGCAGCCACCCTGCGCTGCCTCCAGCCTGCCTCACCTCTCCTCAAGGGCCCCCAGGGACACTGGCTCCCTGTAGCTTCATCCAGGAGCAGCCTCTGCATGGCACCCCCCAAAACAGCAGGACACTGGAGAGCACATCGTTCTCAAAGTTTCTTCTGAGGTGGAGAATGCCTTTAGGATCATTTTGTCTAAATATGGCAATTCAGGGTTTTTGGAGCCACAAGTTATAAAACTCACTTTTCCCTATGGTTTGGATTGCTGCAGTGAGTAATGTCCATTTCTTAGTTTAAAAAAAAAAAAAGTGAGAGTGTGGAAAGTAGCAGTAAACACTCATCAAGTGGTAACCCAAAAGAATTTAATTTTCTTCATTCCTATCTGCATACCAGTTTAGTCTTAATTTAAGGTATGAGCAGGCTGCTCTGGGAGGTGCATTACTGTATAGTACATTCTTCTAGTAATTGAAAATAATGCCAAAGCAAACATATTTTTAAAAAAATAACCCTAAGAAGTAAATGGTATAGTTTGTTGCCCTCCATCTGGTTAGCTGTCTCAAAGGTCATAAAATGGGGGTCCTTTGGTGGGGCAGCGTGGTTTATGTAGCATATGCAGATTGGTATTTTGGCTTTAAGCCAGATCTACCTAATTTTCCATTTTGCTTCTATGATGAGAAGAGGTACTTGAGGTGACTTCAAGGGGCAGTTTTGTGATTTCATCCCTATTTGTATTAAAGAGCCTTTTAAGAGTATTTAAGATTAAAACGTAGCCTAAATAAAGTTCAAGTACAAAAAATAGCAGAGTTCAGTTTTTTATCAAAAGCTGAGCTTGTAGCCAGGCACAGGCCCAACTCACACCACCCAACAGCCCACACCTCACAGCTCTTTGTGCTCTGTGGTTCCAATGATTGTGCTGCAAGGCAAACAAACAGGAGCCAGAAAATTTACACAGCCCCTGCAGCCTTCCAGAGTGTGGCTGTTCCTGTCTGCTCAGACATTCTGTAGGTGGGTGTGTGAACAGAGCAGAGAATTGCACACATCCAGAAACCCCTGTGCCACTGCAGCAGCACATTCAGAGGAGGAGTGTATTGTGCTGCCAGGGTGGCACAGAGCTCCAGGCTGCTCCCTACCTGGCACACCAGTGGGACATTGCCTTTGGCTGCTCCTGCCCCCACAGACTGCCCCCCAAAGAAAGCAGTCTCGTGCTTTTCACCTTGTTGGCAGCGCTCCTGGGCTCAGCACAAGTGCCTCTCTCTGCTGGGAGAGCAGCCACTAAGGGAGCTGGAGCTGTGAAAGTGGCTTTGCCCACTTACAGTCCTGGAGGGACCATATAAGTAAAGAGCTTTTTCCACTGAGCTAAATGGAGTTTTCTGTAGCAGAAATAACTTACGTAAAATAAAAACAAAGTTGGCAGGCAGTATAAAGGCTTAAGCTAATAAATGCAATATTTAGTAGTGTATATTTGCTGCTGAATTTGTAAAGAAAACCAGACTGAAAAGCTGGCAGGAGCTATCAGTTAAGCACAATAAAGAGGAGTGTCTTGAAGTGCTCAATAATCATAAGAAAGTTTTCTCACCCAAGGACAGACTGAGTACATTGGCCTTTCTGGAATGTAGTCATCTCATACACAATGGCAATTTGAAGGTAACTTAAACAACTTGACTAAAAATTTAGATGACATATTTGTGAGTCTGTTCTGGTCTGTGGGTGAACGTGGTGCAGAAGAGAATAAGCTCTTGGGGAAGCCAGATATTTTCACCAAAAATACTTCACATTATTCATTAACCACAGGTCCTGCTTTCTATGCCATTGTCTGTTTGAAATGCAAGCATTTCCTGATCCTTCCTCTGTACTTTTTCTTAGCTAAATAACATGTTAAAGTTGCATCTCCCTTCCTGGGTTTTTTTTTTGTATATTTTAATAATTTCACTACTATCTAAATAAAACTAAGCAAATTGATAAACACTAAGTAAATGTAGAACATATTTCACCTTACATCACTGTAATTAAAGAACAGAGAACTCTGTGTACTCAGTTGTTTAATTACTTACATATATGAGTAGAGACAGATTTCAGTGTGAAGAACTACTAACTTTGGTGTAAAAGTTCCATTTAATTACAAAGTAGTATGTTTTAATAGTTACCAACTAATAAAAACCATTCTTCCTTTAGAGAAGGAATTAAAAGTATAGATGCAAAATAGAATTAATGTTTTAAATAATTTTTTGTGATTTAGAACAGTGTTGCATTGGGTAAGCTAGTTAACATGTCTTCCCTTTGTATCATTCTTCCTGCATTTCAAATTACTCTGCTGCAGCTGATAAGCAAAACAATTTCAGAGATAGATATTTCAGATATAACTTTTTTCTTCTGCACCAGATGGGTGTGACACAGTGAAGTCCAGTGATTAAAAAGATGTCCACCCCAGCAGTACTTGTCTCTTGTAGTATTATTAAAATATTCTGAATTGTTTTTCTCTAATTCTTTTACTCTGAAGGAGGAAAATGTGTGTTTACCAACTGAAAATTGAAATTTTTTACAAGTGTGGATACCTTAAGCTAATGAATATTAATCTTTTAAAATTTAAAGAAAGCAGTTCATGTTCAATGCTGTGCTCTGCCCATCTGTTGGACTTCCCAAGATTTAAAATCTTGTACCAACTTTTTCTCTAAAGATCATTGCTGTTGTGCTTGCTAGATGGACTTACTAGTATTGTATTACCTCTTGGGATAAAAAGGTTTGTCTTTGTTTAAAGTTCCTCTCTTCCCTAAGAAGCTATTCTTGATTATTTCTCTTGGATAAACAGATCACTTGTGGGATCCCAAGAACAACCCACTTCTCTGCTAGGAGCCAGCACTGCATCCCTTAGCTTTATGTGTAAGCAATTGTGAAAATCTGTTTCTCTGTAGAGATGTTAAGCATTTGTTAAGCTTTGCTGGCAGGTGCTTCAGAAGACTTCCATTTGTTCTGCTCACATGAGCAAAACTGCCCATGGTAAAATCACATTTTGATTGAGGGACTCCCTCTGGAAGTGAGGGTGGTTGCTGCCACTGGAACCCAGCTGGAAACATTTAATGTTCTTTGTTGTCTGCTTCCTCCATGTTAGCTTTTTCTTTGCTGTCCTTCATGGCCTGACCCTTTTGAATACTTCTGACTTGAAGAACTGCTGTTACAGTAAGAATTAGGTTCCCATGTTATATACTTAGGATGAAAATACTTGGGATGCTCTGGCAGCCAATTGCCATCTAGAAAAGAGCAAAATTATTCTCTTCAGATTTTGCTTTACACCTCATTTAAATACATTCATCTCCAGTGACAGACTCATTTATTGAGAGAGAGGGCAAAGAGACAATTCAGTATTTTTGTTAGTAACTCTTAATTCCTTATCAACAATAAAAGGTTTGTATTTCAGTTTGCCAAAGCAAAAGTGTCAGGGTGAACAAAAAAGTAGTGAAATCTTCCAGGGCATGACAAGAAGATGAGTCTAGTTCCATTAACAGGTATAACAAGATGAGAAGGTTAAGAGGCACAGTTGATCCTAAGGTGTCATGTGGTGATGTCAGCAATCCTTCGGTGCTACCTGAGATGGATTCAGGTTGACAAATATCTGTTTAGATTTGAACTATAATAAAGCACAGCATAGACAGGTCACCATATGCCACATAGGAAATAATTGATTAGTTAAGCTTGGTGGCGTGCCTGATGTTAAATTTCCAAAGCTAGGCAAGATTGTGGGTTTCTCTACGTGTGGCTAATGCTCATAGTTCACATGACATGGTTTGCATTTTCAGGTAACCATTGACAATTAGGATCTTTGGTGACTGCAGACAAGACCTGTGTGAACTAGCCGTATTTAAACATGCAAGTCTGACTTCAAACATCTGGGTTTTTTCATATCTTGTTAAAAGTAAATCCATTGTTAGAAACAACTTGAACTCATTGGTATCAGGAATGTAGCAGGGCCATGCCTTAATGTTTAAATTTAAAAGTTTTGTCTGGCCTCACTAATCAGCACCCACCATGTTGCTGCTTGTTCTTTCTTTACAGAACATAGGAAACTTGGCAATCTGACTGTGACAGTGAAAAAGACCGTCCCCTCTCCAGAAGCAATACAGATCCTCTACCAACGCATGAGATATGAATATGAGTTCTATTACTATGTCAAAGAACAATTCCACCTGCTAAAGCGCAAGTTTGGACTGAAGTCTCATAGCGGGAAACCAAGTCCAAGACCTGAGTTCTTCATTCCTTCTCCCCTGGAAACAGAAGAACCAATAAATGATGAGGAAGAAGATGATGAAAAGTGGCTAGAGGGTATCTATAAAAGGTGATGGATGGAAGAGCTATCAGCTATCCTCTCTCTTCTGGTGACCCCTCCAGCTTTCTTAAGATTTTTTTTTTAATTATTATTAAAAGTAATTCCTTAAGGAACTGATTTAATGCGCAGCGGATTTGAAATGGAACAGAAGAGATCATTCCCACATGCTGGAGCCATTGGGAGATACCTGATTTTACAGGTTTGATTCATTATACAGTGTTGGCTCTATAGCATCCTTGCTACAGCATAGTTCAAGAGAGAAGTACCTACCATCTGTCACAAAATAACTTTGGGAATACACAGTAGTCCTTTGTGAGCTGCAGAATACAAACGAATAGATTAGGCATTCATGAAAAGCAAATCTTACAGATTCTCGTCTCTCTCTTTGATCATAAAAAAGTCTTCATGGCATAACACTGTGGCATGAACTACAGGCAGTGAGCCATTTGGAAGGAGTGCCTCTTTCTGTCCAAAGCACACTGATATCCCAGTGGTATGGTCAGAGCCATTGCTTTGTCTTCAAATCCAAGGATACCAGGCTCAGAAAGGTTAGGTAACAGCTCCTTGAATTACTTGTGCCAGAGGAGCAGGGCTGCTGTTCTGCCAAATCAGCACTAGTGAATGTAAGGCAAGGTACGGGAACCAGATATTTTTGGTAAAACCTTCTAGTTCATAGAGTGGGAAACATTACCAGGTCAGTGAATGGCAACAACAAATTTAAAGTGCCAGGCAGAGCTGCTTTATGTCAGCAGTTGAGTATGTTTCTATCAGACTCTAAAGGAAAAGATGTAACATATGGGGTTTATGTTCAAGATTGGTATTTTTAGATTTTTATTATTCTTTTGGGTCACAAATCCAAAGAGATGAAGAAAAAGCTACTAATTAAAAAGCTCGGGTGATCTGGAGCTCCTATTAAGCATGACCTGTATTTCTGCAACTGCAGAATTTAATTGTGAATCTGAATCTGAACGCAGCTTCCCCACCAGCACAAACACTAAACTCCTGCTTTTAGTGTGGCTAGAAGGAATATTAACAATATGAGCATACACAGCTTCTCTAGTTGAAGTAGTTCAGAATCATCAAACAAAGACAAGAAAATGTGCTCTCCAAAACCAAAGCTTGATTCAGTGATAGGTTTGAAAGAGTCACTGTGAAAGTTGCCCTTGTTAATCACTACAAATATTATCTGCCAATACTAGAAAAGGGATCAGTGGAAACTGGTGAAAGAGAAGTAACACCACTGTGTGAGGTGCTGGAGTTATTCAGGTGGGTGTTCCTGGAGTGGGATTCCTTGTGTGGGTGTGCTGGCTGTTGGCCAGCCTGCCAGCCCTGGAGTTGCAGAAGGGACAGACCCACAGGCAGCCTGGGCAGAGCTCCTTGGCCTTCTGCTACACAGCAGAATAGGAGGAGTTTGGCATCTTGATGAGGCCTTGGCCTCTTATGCACCATTGTTGCCAGAGAAAGCTGGACTAATAGAGAATAAGAGCAATAAATTCCTGTCCCCAGAGCACAGGAAAGAAGCAGGTACAAGATGTTGCAGCTGCGTGCCAGGATGGGGACAATCCACCTCTGTCTATCTCACATCCTTTCTCAAACATTTACCAGAAAATTTTTGGTTCCTATTCCACGGCTGCTATCTGCAAGGCCATACTTCAGTTTGCTACATCAAGCAAAAGTTATTTTGTGATGGATGAAGCATATAAACTCAGGATCAGCTCAAATGGGCTTTCCAAGGGTTTCCTCTTCCATGAGCCTGCTGAGAGCCAGTAAAAATTATGATCGATCTTCTTTACTCCTCAGTCTTTACCTGTACACAGAGAATGAAAATAAAGGAGAGTTAAGACAAGACGCTAACTTACAGAAAATTCTAGGAAGAAGATTCTGTTCTCATTATTAACATCCAGGTTGGTGGTAGCAATGCACTACTGTGGGGGAGCACATTAAAGAAAGCTGAAAATGGCACAGATAGTAACTAACATATTAGCTAAAATATGAATCTGCTGCATTGTATATTTTAAGTGGTTTCTATGAAATTACATTGAAAGAGTAATGATTAGTTTACACACTGTGGAGTTGTTATATTTTGGAAAGAACTAGTATTCTCATGTTTCTGAAATTCTGTTTGAATCCTTTTTCTGCCAATGTTTTAACAGAATATGGTCACTTAACACATCCACCCTTCCTGAGAGTTCACTGCCGCTTACAGTAAAGTCTGTTTCTATCTGTTTGTTTATTTAATGGTATCTTCAGCCATCACTACTTATAATCTAAATACAGAAGCTGCTTCGTGATTTACTCGCTAGGTTTTAATATTGTTGTATTTTCGTAACAATCAACCTGGCCTCTCCTCCTCAAATGGTAGTTCTTAAATTTATCTGGCACATAGCATCTAATATTCCTGGTCCTATGGCCTATTTCTCTGTAATTAAATATATTTTGCTTAACTTTTAAAAGGTACGTTATAAGCTGGTAAATCTTTGACTTATTTATTGAAACTTTTCAGCACATTCCAAATTCTAAGTTGCTCAGGAAGAAGTTGATTTAAATAATTATATTTGGGTCTGATGAATATTTCTTATTAAAAAAAAAATCACTCTTTGTAAGCCTTCAGTCCACAACAGCTTTGTAGAAATTGCCAACTTGGAGATATTTTTGGGGGGAAAAAGGTGGTGGTTCAACACTTAGAAAAATAAGAAAATATATGTCTACATTAGCTTAGCTATAAATGAAGCAACATATGTTTTGGAATGAAATCTTCTTTAACTTATTCACTACTATCTCCTGAAATATCAATAAGCCATATGATTCTTTATTTTTCAATCCAATGATGTTTAAAAATAAAACTTGCACATTTCTTCCTGGCGCCATCGTCCTCTTGCTTACAGTAGTTTTCCTGCCTGGATGCAGTGGCTGTGGGGAGGATATTGGAGTTGCACCCAACAGAGCAGGGCTGGATACGGCCTAGGGCATCTTCTGAAGGTCATACTCGAGCAGTGAGACTGGAGCAGGTTGCTCCTGGGTTATTCCATCTCCCAAGCTGTCCGGAGGTGTGAGCTAAGGTCTGAGTTGTTTTACTCACGTGAGATGCGTGGTCAGTACAGTGAAATACATTGTCCAGTGTTCCGTGGCTGCTAAGTAGAAGTTTTATCCAGGAGAGAAACAACTTAGTCTCCATACACTGCATTTTTACTAGATATGGTGTTTGATGGCCAGGCACAAAAGCTTCAGTAGTCAGAGTGATGTTACAATGTAAGTGAAGTATCAGTGCTTTCACAATAAAGAGAGAATCAATGGTTGTTAAAATGCAGCATTCTGGAAAAAAAATAAATTTTAGTCTTAAGTTTCAAGTGACAATGACAAATTGTGCCATTTTTTGTTTCTGTTCAATTTACTTCTCTGCCACATGAATTTTGTTGGTGATGCAGGGCTAAGTCCAGGTGTCCCAAATGTTCTCTACTTGTATGTAGAGAAGCAGCTTGGCAGAACTGAAAGTATATGAACCTGATGGTGTATTTAAAGCATTCCAGTTTCTTTGCAGTTCTTTTATCGTGGATCTTGGATAAATCATTTGAGTGTTAGGATGTAAAATGGTGCATTGTAGCATAAACACACAAGCAAAGCCACGAATTTTTAAATGTTGGAGAATACAACTGTGAATTCAAGCCATGGAATTTTTCCTCCTTTCAGTATGTGATACAATTAAATTGAATGTACAGGTATGTTTTTTGACTAGCAAAGGAAACCACACTGCATGCCAACTTTTATCCTCTTATCAAATGAAAAAACATTGTCTGCCAAAGAATAAAATTCTACATACTTTTAAAAAATAAAGACCTGATAATGAATTCCTAGCTAAGAGTAATGGTGCCCTGATCATTCCCTCCATTTTAAGAAAGGGAACATCTGTGATGTTAGAACATTAGCCTAAAACAACACAGCAACATTTTTGAGAGCTAAAATACTGTAATACAGTACCACAGCATTCCTTCTGTTTTATTTTTAAGGACTCGGCCTTTTTTGTAAGGAGTTCAGCTAACACATAAAACACTGTTGATCAGTCTGCTTGCACGAGCCAAGACCGGAGTAAAGAGCTGAGTGTTGCTACATACAGACCTCCACACACAGATTCCATGGGAAGAACAAGGGTGTTACCCAGCCTTGGAAGTGCCTGTCTGCTGGCAATGGAATCACTGGAACAACTTGTGCAGGATCTGTCCCAAGGGAGGGTTTGCAAAGTTAGGCTCTGCTTAAATACCCACAGGTATGGCAGGAAGGTGCCAGAAGGCAACTCCAGGAAAAATGACCAGTGGAGGGTAAAAAAACTTCACTGCAGAATATTTGAAGTGGATGGGAAGGGATCTTGGTTTGAAGGTTGAAAGTTAAATTGCAACCAGCATAAATCAAGTCCTGATGTCTCACAGCTGAGAAGCAGTGGTAAGTTTGCTTTGCTTTGTCTGGAAATGGCGTTGTATGCCAAGCTGCAGTGTGCAGTGAATGTTGGATCTCAGTTGTAAGCTTCAGAAGATCAGTGTGTGTGTGAGGAGAGCACCAGCACACCGTAATGGTTGAGTCTCAGCACTGATGGCTGACCCTATCATCTTGAAAGAGCCTGCAGTAAGGTTTTTGTGGGGCAGTGGGATGGGGGAAGGGGAAAGTTTTCTGCAAATACAAATTTGGCCTTGCGGACACCCTAAGATGGCAAGATTTGACCACTGGTTTATTTAAATTCAGATTTTGAATATAAACATGTGGATTTCCTTTTCTGAGTGTGTAAAGGAGGAATGTGAGTTGGTTTTGTATTTAACTGATTGTGGCTGGAAGGGTAAGTTAATAAAACTGCTGTCAGGCAGGCCCATTGGAGTGTGCTTTATGCAGACTTTTGTCATCTCTCTGTTCCCTTCTTTGGATGCAATGGGCAAAAAAAAAAAACAAAAGTGAAAGAATTCAGTTATACTGCAGGGCAGTTGGTGCTGTGAAAAGTAGAGATTAGCAGGAATACATGGAGGTGATGCTGTTCATAAGATTATTGATCTAAATGCAAGGATGATATAGAGCAACCAGCAGTAGTGGCACACAAGCTGCTCACTCTGTGGCTTTGTCTTATCTAGAAAACTTGATAC